CACACGCCAGCTCTGAACCTTCCTCTTGCCTAATCAGGGTGACAACGGCAGAAATATTCAGATCTATTTCCAGCAGCGGCGCCGGCCCCGATGCCCATACCTGCCAGTCAGGAGTTCATACATTAAGATTCCCAGTGACCAGTAGTCTGCCGAAATGTCGTGACCTTTATTCAGGATGATCTCGGGGGCTACGTACTCCGGGGTTCCACAAAAAGTCCATGTTTTCTTTCCAAATCCTATTTTCTTTGCAAAGCCAAAATCGACCTGTGGAAAGGAGCAGAGTACCATCAGGGCAGGGCACGAGAGGGAATGTCAGCCATGCGCTCTGCTCCTCTTGAAGTGAAGCAAAGCAGAAAGCAGGTTTCCTCATGGGAATATTCTCTTAACCAAAGCATAGCGGAATGTTCCAGGACCAGGCAATCGCAGTGACCTTTTCGCCGATTTATCCTTCATAATATAAAAGGAAGATTCTCGTGAGGGAAGAAGAACAAATGCCAACACTGAGGGTTTCTTGGGAGATGTAACTTCATATCATTCACAGCCCAGGCTAATTTGTTTTGCCTTTTTTTTTTTTAGACTCCCAGCCTTAACCCGAGCAAGGAATTATTTAGGCTAAATACCGACCATCTTGGCATCCACTGAAAAATCCAGATTTCTCTCCCACTATAAAGAGTGATGCAGTGTCCTCCCAATTCCCCCCGTTTACTTGAGGCTGCAACAATATGCTGGCAGGCTCACAAACCTCAGTGTTCCCCTATAGTGTCCCTATGGCACCGGCAAGCACCCTTAACCCGAGCAAGGAATTATTTAGGCTAAATACCGACCATCTTGGCATCCACTGAAAAATCCAGATTTCTCTCCCACTATAAAGAGTGATGCAGTGTCCTCCCAATTCCCCCCGTTTACTTGAGGCTGCAACAATATGCTGGCAGGCTCACAAACCTCAGTGTTCCCCTATAGTGTCCCTATGGCACCGGCAAGCACAGAAAATGAGATTATACTGGGAAATGAAGATGTCCTTTGGGGCCCAGGCAGAGCTCAGGTTAACAAGCTTACAATATTTTTAGCTCTACCTCTCCTGGTTCCCCTGTTCGGCACTGTGCTGTCCCAGAGCGGTGGCCTGTACACTCTCTGATGTCCCTTGATGGGTGTGAGGTGCTCTTGCACCTTGGGCTGCTCAGGAGCAAGATGTCCTACATGGTCACAGTCCCACAAGGGATCTGGGACACCTCTCGTGTTATCAAGGATGTGCCCACAAAGATCAAAACATTGAAGGAGCTGGGGGTTGGTGACAGGACGAGCAAAAACCCCAGTCCAGATCCTCCTGGGGTGGGGAGAAGGACAGTCCTGCAATGGATCCTCCCCAATCATACGTTACCTCACTGGCCCCCCCAGCCTTAGCAAAATGCTGTAGAGCATAAACTCGGATGTAATTCATTAGGTTTAGCGTCCTGGTGACACATGGTGTCTGCCACCGGGCCGTGAAGGTCCATAGAATCATAAAATGGTTTGGGGTGGAAGTGTCCTTAAAGAGCGTTTCGTTCCAACCCCCCTGCCATGGGCAGGGACACCTTCCACTAGGCCAGGTTGCTCCAAACCTCATCCAGCCTGGCCTTGGACACTTCCAGGGATGGGGCATCCACAGCTTCTCTGGGCAACCTGTCCCAGTGCCTCAGCACCCTCTCCAGGAAGAACTTCTTCCTGATATCCAATCTAAACCTCCCCACTTTCAATTTAAACCCGTTACCCCTTGTCCTGTCACTACAGGCCCTTGTAAAAAGTCCCCCCAGCTTCCTTGTAGCCCCTTCAGGCACTGGAAGCTGCTATAAGGTCTCCCCAGAGCCTTCTCTTCTCCAGGCTGAACAAGCCCAACTCTCTCAGCCTGTCCCCATAGTAGAGGTGCTCCAGTCCTCTGATCATCTTCGTGGCCTCCTCTGGACTCCAGATGTGGCCTCCTCTGGATGCCATCATGCATGTCATTAAGGAAGATGTTAAACCGTTCCTGTCCCAACACTGACCCCTGAGGAATGCCACTTGTCACTGATCTCCACTCGGACGTTGAGCCATTGACCACCACTCTCTGAGTGCCACCATCCAGCCAGTTCTTTATCCATCAAGCGGCCCATTCGTCAAATCCATGTCTCTCCAGTTTAGAGACAAGGATGTCATGTGGAACAGTATCAAAGGCTTTGCACAAGTCCAGGTAGATGACATCTGATGACATCAGATGATCATGATGGTGATGATCTGACTTACTGGTCCCACTAGCTGATGCTGCTCCCAAGTTTCCATTCCCAAAGGCAGGGAATAGTCCCCAAGCCAAGAGGCAGAAGCCTTGCCCTGCTGCGACTCTCAGGGAGGACATCAGCCCCTCTTGGGCGCACCTCTTTTTAGGACTGCATTGCCTCATCCTTCACTGATGGCTTCCCAAGTGCTCACATCCTCCAGCACCTTCCACCAAGGGAAGACTTTCTTTTCTTCTCCCCTCTCCATGGTCCCACCTGGCATTTGGGGTGTACCGTACATGCAGGGCACCTTCACGGTGATTTTTGAGGCAAAAAAGTAATGTGAGTGAACAAAGCGAAACAGTGAAACCCATCAGTAACTCCTTAATTTGTGGGGTGGAGGTCTTGCGCACGCTGCCGTCCTGGTTTGAAGAGGTGGATCTTGCAGAGGGACAGCACCAAGAAGGACCATGACCTCCTGGGAAGTGCAGTTTCAGGCAGAGCCATCCCAGCGGAATTTGCACAGGTCAGTCAGGAGTGTTATTGGTGCTAAAACACAAGTGGCTCTTATAAAGCAAGAAGCTGTATTGGCCACAGTTCATCAACACAGTCCAGAGCAATAAATAATAATAATTTCTTGCCAAGACAGGTTCATGATTAATGTTTCCATTAAGAATGTCTTTTTTTATTGCTTACACAGAGGGCCTGACACAGAAACAATAGCGTGCAAAATTTGTTTCGCCTTTAAAGCCCACACATGCAGTCCTCCTCCTCTCCCACATATTTTGAGACACCTATTTTCAAGTTATTTTTCAGACTTTCAGTAGCTCCCCAACAGCTGGGTGTATTTCTCCTGATGCTCCTCTCTAAACATTTCCATCTCAGGATCACAGATCTGAATTTCAAGCCAGAATTCATGTTTCCCAGCTCAGCCGTACCCTGAGCCTCAGCTCGCTGTGTTGGGGAAACACCTCGGTTTAGGGTGATGACACCCTTGACAGATGAGGATCTGTCTCAGCATCTCATCTCATCTTAGCATCTCCTGCTGGCTGGCAACCACCAGAGACAGGACCCTGGGCTGGGTGGGCTTGGCTGCTGACCCTCTATGGCTAATCTTGTACTCCCCTCTACCCCAACACCAGTCGTCTGGCAGTAGTGGTGAATATTCATAGTAAAACCAGATGTTGAAGGCACTCACCAGTTTGGCATAACCTCGGTGATCCAGAATGAGGTTTTCTGGCTTGAGGTCCCGATAAATGATCCCTTTGGAATGCAAATAGGCAAAAGCTTCGACCACGCATGCTGTGTAAAACCTGGTCGTTGAATCCTCAAACGAACCTCTACGCAAAACGAGAGGGAAAGGGGTAATACAATTAGATCTCTTCCCTTACTGGGCTTCACCCTACTATTAAAATATCTATACAATTCAGTAGAATTACTCTAATACTTGGAATCTGCCTGTTCCTGAACTCACCTTTATCTATAAATTTAAGTGCATTTCCATTTTTGAAGACAGCATCTTTGTCTTCGATCCACCTTCACATCGAACATTCACATCTAAAATACTTCAGGTTTTATTTTATAATTTCTTCTCATAGAAGTAAAATTTAAAAATCATTCTCTTGTAGGCAAAAGGGTTTTTTTGGATTACAATCTTTGACTTCTGGGTGATAAAGTTATTTTGACCTGGGGAGACCCAAGCACTCCTGTACTAATGTTCATAACTGAGACAAAAGGCAGAAAAATGACAGTTGCTGGGACTTGAAGTGTTAATTGCAAATTCAACATAAACTTCAAATAGTTTTGGCACCAGTTTGCAACCAGTTTTGCGAAAGCAAACCTTAACCCCCTGTCCACTGGAGCATGGTGGGAGCTGGCGGAGCTCAGAATCGTGTCTAAGCTAGATGGCAGCAGAGCCACAACTTAAAGCTGAGAGAATTAAAGATGAAATTTCATCAGCCTTTGACAAAGACAATGAAAAATGCAACCTGTCACCTGCTAACTTTGCTACAGTTCTTGTTTTAATGGTCCGGAGAAGGCACATTGTTAGGAAAAGGATGAACTACAAAAAATGCATTCTAGGTAATTAAAAAAGAATTTAATCTTTGCTTTCTAATCAATCTTTCTGATGCATTTCTTTTCACTTTCCAAATTTAATTTAATGATGTCCCCATTATGAGCCTATTACATAGTTACATGCTACTCACCGCATCTTTTCCTGCCTCTATTACGTGCACGTCCCACCTACACCCACGCAAGGCACCTGTCACACCCCAAACCAAACACTGCAAGGTCAAACCCTCCCCAAGGCAGGAAATACCAGGATCACGTTGTTCATTATGGTATGTAATTACATGCTTTCCTAACTATTTTTTTCCATGGCACTTGTGCGTAATGCTCCTTGCAGGGTGTGGATTTGATTCATGATCCCGTTGCCCTGCTTTGATGAGCGGCCCTCGTGTAATACGTGATATCTGGACTAGAAGCCCACGCAGAACTATTGATTTCCTCCTGCTCATTGTGGACTGTGTCGTAAATATTAAGAAATATTAATAGATACTATTTATCACAGGTGAATGTTGCTATTCACAGTTATAGAGCGTGGGCAGAGGAGCAACCACCGAGATGAAAGCAGGTCTTTCTCTGGGATGGGAAACTGTGATTTTTCACAAGACCTTGAAGAAGCCTGCATTTTTTTACCTTGAAAACGCACTTTTCCATGGATTTCGTTTGCAACTGTGAACTCACACTAACGCTGCTGCTGCCCTAGGGCCTTGCTTCATGAGCCCAGAGTCTAAAGTGGCCATGGCAGCAATGCCTAAAGGTGCCTCACTGGAAGGGCCCTATCTCCGGAGGGTGTCTTGCAAGACCGCAGCGAGACTGGCCCTGACACTGCACCTCCTGCAATGCCTGATCACACCCCCAGGGTCATTCTCTGCCATCGTATGTGGCGCCCAAAGTCTTTGTCACCCTTAAGACAGTCCCACGTTTCTCTATCAGGTACCTGAGCCTCCAGCCAGGCTCTCAAACGGGAGGAACGGTCTATGGGCATCAAGGACAATTTCTGTGCCATAAAAAAATTCTGTGGTTGTAAAAAGTCATTGTTCTAGGTAATTAAAAATCAATCAATTAATTAATTGAATTAAAATATGCTGATGGCTATTTAGGGACCAAGATACAGGGAAAGGGCAGTCAAAGACTTGGTGTAGATGCAATTTATCACATGTACCATCGCTGCCATCACTACTGTCTGTATTTTTTCAGAGAGGCCATGAGAAAGTATCTCAGGAAAAGTCTTCACTTACATAAAGTCTTGTACATGTGGAAGTCACCTACATCTGTCTTTATTCACAGTTATGACTGGATTCGATTTGTTTCTAGTCAACTGCGTAGGAACAAAAATACCTCCTCACCTTTCTGGGCTCTTAAATTCAACCTAGCCTGGTAAGATCCAGATTTTGCCCATGAAAGACAAAGACCTTTGGTTATCTGGAAGCATATTAGAAAATATCACACTTTTTAAGATAACAGTTTCTTTAAACTCACCGGTCCCTGAGAATCGTCCAGAGCTCTCCACCTAGACAGGCTTCCATCAGCATGTACAGGTACTTGCTGTCCTTGAAAGTCCTGTAGAGCCTGTTGTAGGCAAACAAGAAAATCATAAATAAACCCACTGTAGAAGCAACCCATCAAGCATTTCCACTTCCCACGGACCACGCACTTCATCCCTGGGAAGCACCACGAGACAAAGCGTGTCTTGCAGAGCTAGTGCTTACATTTAGGGAGATCATTTCAACGTCTCAGGTGGGAGATATTTCAGCAGAAAAGGATGGACATCTGCATGGTGAAGTGTATCGAGGTCCTCAGAAGAAGAAGCCATCACTACACAGAGTGCTAAATAGAAAGGCTGCCATTTCTAAGGGCATAACCTGACACTTGGCTTTCCAGATGTGCTTGGAAGAGCAGTTTTCCTACCATTTTTTATAGCATCCCTATCATCTCACTCTTCAAGCTACAAAGTCTGGCTGGAGATCTGCAGTCCCCCTTCCATTTAATCATCTGAAACGAGAATCGCCCAATTTGGGCTTCATTTCAGAACTTAAACCCAGGCATTTGGTGAGTTTAAAGACAACTTGTCTAAATGTACTCTTCCTCCTTCTCCCAGGGACTGAATGTGGAGGAAAACATAAATAAAGGGATAGATGGGCCAGGCTTTATGAACCCATCCTCCTTCGCAAGTTTGTGTGGTAAAATCCGTGCTGCGTTTAATATGATATTAAACAAAAGTAACTATGAAACTATGGAATTAAACATAGGAACTTCAGTTTTAGCTGCTTCACTGATGTTCATGTTGAACTGCTTGTGTACCTCTCGTTATATGTGTGGGTATATGGGTTCAGGTTGCCTGCAGGAACGAGCCTGCTCTCTGTGGATGCTGGACAGGTTTCTTTGCAGCTGCACTGTTCAAAAATTAATTTTAAAAATCTGCGCCCCGCAGGAGAAGGGGATGCTGAGGGACGTTCTGTTATGGTGTAATTGCTCCATTCATGGGAATAGCCAAGACGTAAAAATTAAAGGGCGTATGCAACACGATATAAACTAAAACAGGTGGGTTTGCAGATTCTAGCTTTTCCCAGCTAGTAATAAATCCAGTTATTAATATCTTTAATGGAGCTGTGTGATGGACCAGGGGGAAAACACAGCGGGATTCGGTTCCTTTTGAAGGGATTCAGTTAAATATTAACTCAAGGTACGTGGCAAAACATCCCGACAGCTACAGCTTGGCTCCAATATGCTTTCCCATCACGATGCTAGACAACATTTGCCTCCTGTCTGTGTTTGCGCAGCATCCAGCACACAGCTTAGCATCAGTTACCTGCTAGATTTTTGGCAAGTTTAACAGAGAAAGATCCCAGCAGGCGCAGCTGTGATGTAGGCAGGAGTTTGGGTCCGGGATATGCTCAGTGCTTATCTACCTGGGAAACATTCTGTGGCTAAAAGGTACTATTTGCAGCCACAACAAAATTTGAGGGAAAAAAAGTCTCATATCTTTTCTTACTCCAGTACTACCTATGTTGACATTTCAAACCTCAGTTATAACGTGCAACAAAGTTGCAACAAACTTACTGACCATTTCAAATGGTTAAAATTGATGGGTTTAACAAAAAAAAAAA